TCGTATCTTCTTGTCCAGGACACAATCTCAAACTAAGAGAATCACAGAATGGGAGGTGACCTTAGAGGTCCTCTAGTCCAACCCTCTGCTAAGGCAAAAGAACCTATATCGTTCCGAAGAAGGATTGTCCAATTTCCTCCTTAAAACCTCCAGTGTTGGAGCACCCACCACTTCTGAAGGCACGTCCTTCCACTAATTAATTGTTCTAATTGTCCAGAAATTTCTCCTTAGTTCTAGGTTTCTTCTCTCCTTGATAGGTTTCCATCCGTTGTTTCCTATCCTGCCTTCAGGATCCCCCTCCAAATATTAGAACATTGCTAGTCCTTCTTTTCAGAACAGCAGAGTTGGAAGGGACCTTGGAGGTCTTCCAGTCCAACCCCTGCTCAGGCAGGAAAGCTATACCATTTCAGACAAATAGCTGTGCAATCTCTTCCTTAGAAACATACCCAACTTTCTGAATTTGGGGACCAAAATATTTGGATTGCATTCCCCATTGGAATTAGAGAAGGTAGCTTCCTCATCAGGTGACCTGCTTGGACCCTGAGGAGTTCCAATGACTGCCTACCCATACAGCCAAGCGTCTCCATCTCTTTGAAGCTAGATATGGTCTCCACTGTCATACAATATTTCTATGGTCTTTTTAGAGTTGCCCTGGGCAGCTTGCATTCCATAAATGTTTTCAAAGATAGTTTCTAGGTGACCAAAGTTGCTGCCGCTCAAAATTCTAACTGGAGAACATGATTGATGACTCTGGGCTATGGATGTATCCCATTGGAGAATATGAATTACGATTCATCCAAGGGGGTGGGAGGGAGGGAAACCGGGGTCCAGGGTGACAATGAATGGTGTGTCTCAGAGTCGGCTACACCCAGGCAGTGCTGGATATGTTTACTCCTAATACATCTTCTTTAAGTTTTGGAAGTTTGGCTCGAGATGCATGGTTTAAATGGGGATAACTGCTGGAACCAACATTACGTATCTGATATTAGCACAATTGAAAAAGTCCAGAAATATTTCACAAGAAGAGTTCTCCACTCCTCTACTCGTTGTAGAATACCTTATGCCACCAGACTTGAAATTCTAGAACTAGAAAACCTTGAATTACGCCGTCTTCGGTCTGATTTAAGTATGGTATATAAAATCATACATTGCAATGTCCTTCCTGTCAATGAATACTTCAGCTTCAACCATAACAACACAAGAGCACACAATAGATACAAACTCAAGGTTAACCGCACCAAACTTGATTGCAGGAAATACGACTTCAGCAACAGAGTGGTCAATGTCTGGAATACTCTACCTGACTCTGTGGTTTCTTCCCCAAACCCCAAAAACTTTAACCTTAGACTGTCTACTATTGACCTCACCCCTTTCCTAAGAGGTCTGTAGGGGGCGTGCATAAGCGCACCAACGTGCCTACCATCCCTGTCCTATTGTTTCTTTAATTTTTCTTTTATTTTTCTTATATGTACCCATTTCATGTATTCATAACTATGTATACACTTATACTTATTATCTTGTAAACAATTGACAAATCAAATAAATAAATAAATAAATAAACCCTGACAGCCCACATTCTTTAGTTTTAAAGAGGTGAAACATGACAAGCAGAAGAAAAAAAAATGGACATCTTCTCACTACGTTGGCCAGGCAGTAAGCAGTTAGTGTGTAGCTGGATTGGAAGCACACAATATGCATCTGGTAAGACAAATTCGTCTAAAGACATCTCAGCGAGACTCCTGTGCCTCTTCCTTTTAAAGGACCATCCCTTTGCCCAAGAGACAGTTGTATCTTCCCACAAAATGTTGTGTCCTACACTAGGGGTGTCCAACCTTGGCCACTTGGAGACTTATAGACGTCAATTCACAGAATCCCACAACCTTGACCAAAAGACACTTGTATCTTCTCACAAAGTGATACGTCCTCCAACCTTATCCACTTGAAGACTTATGGATTTCAACTCATCATATGTCCTACATAAGGGGTGTCCAATATGGTCCACTTGAAGACTTAAGGACTTCAACTCCCAGAATGTCCCAACCTTGCTTAAAAGACAGTTGCATCTTTCTCACAAAGTCATATGACCTATACAAGGGATGTCCAACCTTGGCCACTTGAAGACTTGTGGACTTCAATTCCCAGAATTCTCCAGCCAGTTCCCAGAATTCTGGGAACTGAAATCCACAAGCCTTCAAGTGGCCAAGGTTGGACATCCCTACCCTACACCATGATAAGCCTGGAAGATCATTCCAACCTTCAGACATGCAAGAAGATGTCCATCAAACCACCAGTCGAAGGAAGAGAAAGGGACTCTTATGCTGCAGAGCCACATCAACCCCTGAAAATTATGGGATGGCCTGGAAGGTGGCTCGAATGAACCAAGAGTTGGACCAAAACCCATGATTTCTGTCAGGATTGAAAAATGAAACCCTACCTTGTAGAGAGGATGGCACATCGGAAGTTGGCGGAGAGTTGCCATGGTGAACACTTCCGCCAGCAGGTGTGTCCGGAGCAGGTGGGTGATTCCCTGGTGGATATGGAAGTCCGAATTGCGCACCCAGGTCTTGGCCAGGATCCAGTCCCATTCTGGATCGCTGGGCAGGAAGATGGGGGATGGGGAAGACTGGCTGAGCTGAGAAAAAGAACAGAAGTCAATCTATTGGATGGATGGATGGATGGATGGATGGATGGATGGATGATTGAATGACTAGATGGATGATTGAATGGATGGATGGATGGATCATTGAATGACTGGGTGGATGGGTGGATGGATGGATGGACAATTGAATGACTGGATGGATGGATGGATGGATGGATGGATGGATGGATGATTGAATGACTGGATGGATGATTGAATGGATGGATGGATGGATGGATGGATGGATGGATGGATCATTGAATGACTGGGTGGATGGGTGGATGGATGGATGGACAATTGAATGACTGGATGGATGACTGGATGGATGGATGGATGGATGGACGGACGGATGGATGATTGAATGA